ATTAATTTTTTATTTCTTAGTAGAAGTTTTACTTAATTTTTTAACTTTAATATTATAAAAATAACTATTTTTTTTTTTTGAAAAGTTTATATAAATTATATAATTAACATGCATTTTTAAAAGTTCGCATAAATAAAATATTCTTTGGACTTTGAAATTTCTTATACAATATCAATATATACTGAGCGTATTGATCTAATGAATTACTAGAAAATTATAATTAATAAATTACCATTTTTCTATATGCAAATACATTTGAAGCTACGGACTCAACATTCATGTGATTTGACTCAGTGATAAAATTTCTACTAAGTAATGATATATACTAAACCGTTATTAAAACAGGTTAAAAATATAAATGATATATTCACAGTAACTAATTATGTTAACAAACTCTTTATATTTATTATAAAAATGAAAAAGTCAAAGTGAATTCTTTATTTAATAAATTTTGTCATAAAGAATAAAGAAAGTTCTCGAAATGTGTAGAGTAATTATTATTTTTATTATAACATAAAACAAAGTGACTTGATATATTTCATTTTATTACACCAAAAACTTTATCAAAAAAATTCTCATGTCAATATTAATATCGTTTAAAAACTATGAAATTCTACTATGAAATGTCCATATCATCACTTTCTTCTAAGCCCTCATTGACTTTGTTGTCACAATTTTCTTTGCCATCATCAGCTTCATTGTCACTATTTTCTTCGCTACCATTATTTCTATGGTGTGAGTTGGAACATTCACCAGTATCTTCATTAACAATAAACGAAAATGTGCGAGACAATGAACATTCTTTAATTGCATTTCCGTCATAGAATTATTTGTTGCTTCAAAGGCCTCTTCAAAACTTTTGTAATGTTTTCGAATAGCCGAAACTTGAATTACTTCGATTCTGTTAGAATTTAATATTCTATTTACCATTTTAAAATCTTTAAAGAGTTTAATTTTAAGAATAGTGAAGAAAAAACTTAAAAAAAAAGAGGATTTAATTACCAATAAAATTATTATTTTGAAATAGAAAGACAATTTCTCTGATAAATTGACGAAGCTTTCTTATTTCATTCTCATATTGATCTACATTATGATTATTTATGTTAATTGAATGCGTAATGACTTCTCTTATTGCTTTGTTTTCCTTTCTTAAAGCTTTGACCTCTTTCTTTAAGGCTTTATTTTCTTTTATTAATAAATTTGTCTTATTTTGAATATAATTGGCCTTCTTTTCTAAAATATTGTATTGGTTGTTAAATCTCATAATTTTATTAGCCATTTTAACTATTCGACATCCTAATGCATTCAGAATTTCAGTATTATTAAAGTACTCATTACTTGAAATTTCTTTTCATTTTAATTGATATTGATAAAATTGGTTTGTTTTTAAAATATAAGTTTTGAAGGCATCTTTAATTTGATCTGGAGTTGAATTGGGTGAACTAAGTATATTTTTTAACCATTTTTTATTTGAGTCTTTTTGAGGCATTTTTTGTTTTGAAAAATTTTTAAGCTAAGGATCGATCATTCATTATATATAAAAAAAATTATATAAAACATTGGATATTGGTTTATTGGTGACTTTTCCTTATTATAAATATAATATAAAATCATTATTAGCATTACATAATATATAAATTGGTAAATATTATTTACTTTAGAATGCGAAAATTAAAATTATGTAAGGTGTAAAAAAATGGGCATTGGACATAAAGTCAAGCTGCATATATATTTATGTAAACTAATATTATCGTTATCGGTTATATGCATTTATACTGCAAAATAGCAGGTTGACTCATATATATATATTATACATGTTTTAGATTTGCTAAATTAATATACGAAAATTATATATAATTTGTCAAAACTATAAATTTATTGATTGACTTTCGTAGTAGTTTAAATTTTTGGCAAAAAATATATTACTAAATAATAAGTTGATTCAGTAACTGGGGCATAATTTATAAATACAAAAATTCATGTGATTTGTCAAAACTATAAATTTATCAACTGACTCTGGTGGTTCGGATTTTGACGAAAGTTCCAATTTACAACAATAAAATACTTAATTATTATTTTATTTACACAAACTAATAAGACATTAGCTTAATGTCGTATCAAAGAGAATACCTGTTTCCATCAAATCAAGAAGATTTTTTTAAAAATTTAACATCATATGAATCTAACAATTCATTTGATATTGGGAATGTATTAGGTTCTTCTCAAGGTAAGAATTTATAATTAAAATAGTAATAACAAGAGAGAAATTAATCATTTAGTTTTGTATAGAAACAATTATATCTGAAGAATTTTTTGCCCCACTAACAAATGAATCAGAAATAATCAAAAACAATGTCAATGAACAAAAATTAAATAGCAAACTGAAAACAAGTATTAATACCGTTAAGGATTAATATTATAACATTTATAAATAGCTTTTTATTATTTCATTTATACTTAATATTTTGTTTCTTTATTATTTTTGTCAAAACTATTTGAATATATTTTCAAGAAGATTAATCAAAAATTACGATTTCTTTTCTAACAAATAAATAAAGTTAATAAGATTAAATAAAGCTTCTCATTAGGTCTTATAAATCTTTGCTTATATGCCTTTGTAGTATGAATAGCTTTTATTAATGGCAATTCAAATATTCATTAGATTGTATAATACAGTAAATTATTTTTATTATATTGCAATTCTGAATTAATGTCTTCGTGATAGAAGCAAGTTATAGACCTTTCGATTACATTATTACTTCCTACGTTACAAGCTTATTCATGGGTATCAAATCATGTTATCAGTTTTAATAGTAAGAGTCATGATCTATGCTTGACTGCAAAAATCAAATAATGTATTCTTGTAACTTGCTACGTGCAAAAATCTGCAGACCTTGGAGAAATTGAAGGTCTGCATAATTTCGGAAGATACTATCAGATGGATTCAGTATCATCAAAGATTTAGAAAAATTGGTTACTTAATAAAATGAAATATTTATAACAACTAGCCCATTACGAGCTTAAAATAATGGAAAACATAACACGAATAAAGATCACGTTAAAGCATTGAAATATTTAAAACGAGTACATGAATTAGGTGAAAAACATGCTTCGCATTTATTAATTCTTCTTAATGTAATCAACTAACAATTCTAAATTTCGATTTATTTTTCTTTGGTTTAAAAATATATAACTTATTTAAAGTTCGTAAACCTAAAAATACTGCAGCATGTAACCTTATTGTTACTAATATTCACCATTATCTCTTGTTTAATGCTTAACACCACATAATTTTATCATAATCAATTAATAAATATTTGATGGCATTATTATTTTCAACAACAGTTTTTTTTAACCTCCTTAAAACAGGCTTTTTTTATGAAATATATTCTTGGTATATGTTTTTATATTGCTAAATAACAACAGAATCATAATTTATAGGTACTAAAATATACACGATTCATTAAATATATTAATTTTATTATTATATGTTAAAAATTAGAGATAGTAAATTTGAGTTTTTTTTGAATCTACTGCGCAGGCTGTGCTGCCTGCATGGCCCCGCGTTATAGC